GCCCCGCAACCGCGCCGGCTTCGAATGCGATTTCATACTCCAGAAGCGCCCCCAGGGCCCGTTGGGATGCAAGCCGCGTGAGGTCCGTCGCCGTCAGCCGGGAGCTCGTAAGCAGCATCCACGGCAGCAGCTGCGCCACCCGCTTCACAGGCTTCCCGCCCGCGGCCGCCGCAGCCGCGCCCGCGCCGCCGGCCGCGGCGCCGGCGCCGGCACCATCCCGGCGCCGCGGGGGTCCGCCGGGGCTGGTCGAGCGCCGGAAGGGCACGGCGCCATTCTGGCTCGAGACCGGGAGCGGCACGCTGCCGGCGCCGGGGCCGACCACCTGGAAGCGCAGCGGCGCGCCGCCGCCGCCGCTGCCGGGCGCGGACAGCAGAATGTCGGGCGCCGCCGCCGCCTGCCGCAGCTGCCGCCGCACCGCGTCGGCGCGCGATAATCGCGCCAGGCGGCCGGCGGGCAGCAGCGGCACTGGCTGCGGGCGCGGGGTGGGGGGCGAGCGTGCCGGGCGGTGTGCCGCGAAAGGGCGCCCGCGCGTCAGGTATGCCCTTTGCCGCCTCGCGTGAGCACCACGCGCCTGAAGGGGCTCAAACATGGCCCACAAACAAACTACACAGACCCTCATCCGCCCCGCGGAACAGGGGTCGCCCACGCCCCCCAAACCCCCAGGCGCCGCGCCGCGCCGCACCTTGGAGGGGGCGTCCGAGCACCTGCTGAACGACACGGACAGGCAGCTCGCCCTGTCCCTTGCGCAGCCGAGGTCGTCCGCGTGGTCGCCGCCGCCCGGCCCCTCGTCCAGCCGCAGCACGCACAGCCCGCCCGACGCGTCGGACGACGCCGACCCCTGCCTCCCACGGAAGTACCAGAGCGGCGGCGCCCCGCCGCTGCCGCGCTCGAACATGAGCTGCGTCCGGTTGGGGGCCGCCGCGGCGCAGGAGGGCGAGAGGGTTCATTGCAGTGAGCCGAGGATGCGCGGCGGGCATGGGACGCAGCTGCCCAAACAGAAGCGGCCCTGAGCGCGAGGCCTTGCTGCAGTCAGGGCAATTCGCAAACGCAGCTCCTGCGCCTGCGGAGCGTCCATGCCCGCACCGCCCGGTCCGCGCCCCTCGCCTGCTGCCGCACCTTGACCCTGCCGGTGCGGTTGGTGACGGCCCACCGCACGCGCTGCACGTCCGTGCACTCCCACATCTCCTCCCCGTACACAGCGCTGCACGCCTTGAGCCAGTCCCCCACCTGCAGCAGCCGCCAGCAGCGGCCGCGGGCAGCAGCAACAAGGCACGTGAGAGGGTGGCGGGTGGCAAGCAGGGCGCCGCGGCTTGGCCGTGCCCAGTTGGGCGGCAGGGCCGGCTGCGTTTGTACGGGTGAACGGCGCGGCGGTCCGGCCGTGGCGTGTCCTGCTGCATGTCCGCATGTGTGGCCGCGCGCACCTGGATGAGCCTGCTGTTTGCTGCGGGGGAGCCCTGGTGCACACGCTGCACCAGGAGCTGAGGAAGCGGGGCGTGTGTGTGTGTGTGTGTACATGAAAGAGAGAGAGAGAGAGTGTGTGTGTGTGTGTGTGTGTGTGCGCGCGCGCGCGCGCGTGTGTGTGCGCCGCCATATGCACGTGCCATCCAAAGCCGAACATGATGAGGAGATGTTTGAGTCCGTGCAAATGCCATGAAGAGGCTGTAAGCGGTGTGCCGTGCACCACGCCCGACTGCCGAGCCGCTTGCATGGCGCCTGCGCAGCTGCGTTCGATGTGTTCTCGGCGTATTGCCGCAAACAACGGGAACGGGGCCCCGGGGGGGGGGGGGGACCTCTTGTGCTGCTTGGCGCAACGCACCCGACCAGTGTGCGGCTCGGGCGCCAGCGTCAGGCCCACGGGCTTTTCCAAATGAACCATGTACTCCGCCAGGTTGAACCCATACTCCACCGGGAACGCAAAACTTCCACTCCTGGAGCCAGGAAGCGTGTGTCAGCGTCAGCGTGGGGTGCGCGCAGCGGCGTGCGCAGCTGCGGCGGGCATTGCCGAGGTCCGAAGGATTTGGGGCTCACCCTTTCGGATCCATGGCACGTGTGTGCCTGCGCGCAAGCCGTCCATGGCCGAAACAAGGGGAGTATGAAGTACTCGCGGCTCCTCCGCGACGAGCCCAGCTGTGAGGGACGGCAGGACTGCCCGTGACCCCCAAAGGTGCGAGGGAGAGCATTGTCTCCTCCCGCGAACCCCCAGAAAAGGTGGATCAGATCATCCAGGCGTGTATGTGGCTGTACGTGTATTCAAAGAACTAGGTGACGTTATATGTAACAGGGTCGCGTCACCCCTCAGTGCTCCCTAGTGCTTTTGTTGGGAGTGCATGCAGCCATGGCGGTTGCGCGTGGCCCTCAAGTGCAACGGACCGTCAATCCAGTGTGCATGCAGTTGGCTGTGACATGCATCTGAAGTTTGATTGAAATATTTGACTCACAAGATGTGTTTCGCACTCCCATGTGAGTATGTCGGATCTCCAGCGACGGCGGCCTCAGTCATCGACACGCTGCATGACCAAAAGCGGAATGACCCGTGAGGCCAGCCGCGTCGGCGATCCACCCACAGCGGCACATGCAGTCCAAGCAAACCAACCAAAGTGCAAGGGGACCGCATGTGTGCATACACCAGTCCAAGCTGTGGTACGCTGCATCTGTGCGGGGCTCGTTGATGGCCTCGAAGTGTTCACTACCTCTGCCTCCATTTGCCAGCCTTATGCAGTTGCTGACCGCCGTAAGGCCGTATCTAAACATCGCAGCTATAGCGTGCACAGGTAACTCATCTAAAGTACAGAGCGAGGCAGGTCTTTGAGTGTGCAGTTTGCAGGGGCCAGGTCATGTTCGCCCGAATCTGCTAACAAGTTTCGCTATCCACAAGCAGCTGAGTCCGGTAACGGGATTGTGTTACAGACAGCTGACCGCCTATGCCACATCAGCAGGGAGGCAAATCTTGCAGGGCTTCCGCTGCCACTAAGCCCTTCAAACTCCCCCCGCTAATCAGTCATGGTTGCACTGCATCGAGTTGCTTGGCCACAGCCTGCGGGCGGCGCCCGTTGCGCACCGGCGCCCATTGTGCACGACAGCTGCTCATAAACATCGCCCTCGAGAACACAGGCGTGGCAACTGGCGGTTACAAAAGTCTGAGAAGGCATCCATACCAAGTAGGCGCAATACATGTGCACAGCCACCACCTGCCTGCTGCCGAATTCATGAATACCATTTGCCTTGATGAACGCAACGCGTCATCCCTGAGGCCATCAAGCATTATATATGACCCTTTATGCAGGCCAAAAAGAAACGTAACAAAGGCTTCACCGACGAGCGAAAAAAGGGTTGATGGCGTCGCAGCTGCAGGCAGTTCAGAGTCTGTGTGGCATTTGTAATTGTGGCCGCCTTCACACAAAACTGCCCGGAAACACAATTCCGAAAGAACAGCTCCAGCTTTGTAAAGGAGTCGTCTAGTAGCCACATCCCATGCAGCGGTCGGCAGGACGCTGCTAGAACAACCAGCCAGAAGAAAGTCAAATGTTCCCGCCATCATCACACCAGGCCACGCCACAAGCCGTTGCCTGGTTGCAGTGGCGCAGGTTGCTGCATGTGTTGCTGTACGCGCTGCTGCTGCTGCTGCTGCTGCTGCTGCTGCTGCTGCTGCTGTAGATACAGCTGTTGCTGCTGTTGCCGCAGCAACAGCTGCTGCTGGTGCTGCTGCTGCTGTTGTAGCTGCTGCTGTTGCTGTTGCTGCCTATGGTATATTTGCTGTTGCTGTTCATATTCTTGTTGCTGCTGGACCAGTAGCTGGTGTTGCTGCTGCTGTGCAAAGATTTGCTGCGCAATGACGCGTTGCTGCTGGTACTGCTGTTGCTGCTGCTGCCGCCGCTGTTGCTCCTGCTGTTCCTGGTGCTGCTGCTTTTGCTGCTGCTGCTGGGCAGCGGCAGCGGCCACATCAAAGCCGCCACGGGCAAAGGCGCTGCTAGATTCAACACCGGCGCTCACAAACGCGTAGTGCTGCTGCAGCTGCTGCTGATCAGCCGACGGTCGCATCAAAGCATCAGCGCCACCAACGCGGCCGCTGGCGCCTGTGATGAACCCCTGTTGCGCTGCCAGCGGCGCTGACATTGCTAGAATGATGCTGCGAGGCGAGCGCAGGGGCGCTGCGCTGGCCTCAGCCACTGACGCTGGGTCGAACCTGAGTCCCACGGCTGAGGCGCTCGCAAGCTGAGGCACCTGCGCGCCAGTTGTGCCCGTGCCCACAGCGCCAGCACGGGCTGCGCCTGCGGAAGCGATGACAAGCTGCGGTACCCCGTCAAAATCAACTTGCTGCTTTGCCATTTGTGCCTCTTGCTGCAGCAGATGCTGCATCGTTGTCCCCTCCCGTTGTCCTGGTCGCAAGAGCTGCTGCTGCTGCTCCTGCTGCTGCTGACCCTGCTGCTGCTGCTGCTGCATGCCCCCAAGAAGGTCAGGGGCGCAGAAGATGGAAGACATGAACAGCCGCTCCCGCTGCTCAACACGCAGGGGCTCCTGCCGCTGGACCTGCGTGTCCTTCAACCCCTCCTGCTCGGCTGGCTGGTCGGGGCGCGCCTCCTCCTGCTGGCCTTGTTGTTGCGGGTGCTGCGCCGGGGCGGTCGCGGCCTGCGCTGCCGCGAGCTGCGCCTGCGACGCAGCCGCGGCGGCGGCTGCTTCCGCCGCGGCGGCCTCCGCGGCCGCCGCGCGGCCCTCCGCCGCCTCCGCCCTGGCCTCCGCGGCC